AATAAGAAAGCGATAGTAGAAACGTTATTTTCCGTATTATCTAATGCCAAATTGAATACCAAGGTTTGTAATTAATTACATATTGTATGTTATTAAATATTTTATATTTGACACTCTGTAGTCTTATTGCTTTACTTTACTTAGATGAAAGAAAAAGCTGCGCTTTCTTTGGGATATCTGTGTGTCGGCGAGTGTTTTCCGCACACCGTAGACATCGCTAACAAAATCATAGCAACCGTTAAAGAGGTGCATAAATGTGTTTATATATACATATACATATATACATATATATGTATGTATAATTAAATTTGATATATTTATTATGTATATGCTAATATATGATATTTAACAGACAAAAGATATCGAAATCCATTTAATTCTGGGGGAAGCTTTGGTTTGTTGTGTTCAAGCGCAAGCTTCTTCGGAAGCAAGAGATGCCTGGACAATTTTACCTGCCGAACATGTTATTCCATACAGTAAAGATAGTGATGAATTATTAGTACATGTGCTGAATGAATTATTTAATATATATAAAGTGCCTCATCCAAACTCACGACAGGTATTTATATGCCATATTTTAAAGAAGAGGTAAAGTAGTTTTCTTGCTTTATTAATAGCAAGATGTATTTTTAAAGGCAGTATGTGTATGGCTGTTCGCACTTCTAAAACACAACGTTCAACGAGAATGCATTAAGGAAAGATTGTCTATGATTCATCATGCATTTATAGATTTTCTTTCAGACGACAGTGGTAAGGAATATAAATGACTGATTGTATCAATGAATTGTATCATCTTTCAGCGGAGGAAGAGATTTGATCTTTTATTTTGTAACAGATATAGTGCAAGACATTGCTTCGAAAGGCCTTAGTTTGGTACATATTAACAGTAAACAAGAAGAACGCGAGGCTTTAGTGTCCAAAATACTAGATCAGTTTACACAGGGTCGTAGAACAGTGCAACAAGTTACTGCCGATACTAAATTATTTGAAGAAGGTCAACTAGGAAAAAGTCCATCTGGGTAAGATTAAAATATAAAATATTTCGCGTTAGCTTACAATTTAAATAAAAAATATTTAAATTAAAAAAATATTTACTATTATCATTAACTATTATCCTATATTAATAATGAAATAATATTAGATAGTTAAAGAAATAATGTAATTTTTCAGTGGTAATCTGTCTACTTATCGGGAAATCTGTTCCCTCGCGACAGAATTGCAGAAGCCTGAGCTTGTATATTATTTCATGCATCTGGCAAATCATAACGCGATATGGACATCTAAAAAGGGAGCTGCTTTCAGTTTTGCAGCAATCGCTAATATCGCGAGAGACGAACTGAATAAATATCTACCTAATATTATACCACGATTGTATAGGTATCAGTTCGACCCGACGCCAAAGATTCAGCAGAGTATGGTCAGCATTTGGCGAGCCGTCGTCCCGTCTACCTCGAAAGCCGTTAGTAATATTATTTGATATCTGTTAACAATGTCTAACGTATGTAATCTTGTAAGCGTAAAAAATTGTTTTTTATATATTATCATAGATCGAACAGTATCATAAAGAAATATTGACTGATGTAACTGATAATCTAACGAATAACGAATGGAGGGTTCGTATCAGTTGTTGTAATGCTCTCGCAGATCTTTTAAGGAGTAATGTTCAATTCAACTTCGCCGAATGCGGCCCGGAACTCTGGAAGAAACTGTTTCGTGTAATGGACGATATTCACGAAGGCACACGATTAGCTGCGACAAACACTACTAAAATACTTAGTAAGGTGAGTGCAAAATTTTTTACGAATTTTCTCTATGAAGTTTTTGTAATTTAAGACTAATAATGTGTCTCTGCTTTTCCTTTTTTCCTTTTTGCTTTTTGTCCCTCTTTGCAATCATTTTATCGACAATCGTTTTACGTGTTTTTGTCTCTTTTGAAATTCATTAACTTTTACATTAGGCGGTGGAAAATGAAAAAAATAGGGTAAAAAGCATAAGGTAAAAAATGACGAAAAGCAAGAAATAGAATGCAAAGAGCACATCGTAGATTTAACCTTTATGATATGTAGTTCGGAAATGTAATATCGTTAATATTCTATAGGTTTGCATACGTCATTGTGATTCATCGCACGGTAACGCGGGGAAAGAAGTTATTCAAGCAATATTGCCCGTGTTACTTAATATTGGTATTGCTCATGTCGTGGATACAGTGAGATCTATATCATTGCAAACGGTATCGCAACTCGTATCTACGGCCGGCATTCTATTAAAACCGTCACTCGTTAATCTGATACCATCATTATTGGAAACGATTGGTGAATCGGAGAATCCTAAGCTTTCATATTTGAGTAATGTGTGCGGCGCAACTACGGAGACTCAGGAAGCAATCGATAATCTTAGAGCGAATGTTGCGAGAAGTCATTATGCGTCGGATACGATAACAAAGGTACTTTCATTCTCATATACAATTTGGAGGCGAACTCAATAATCTTAATATTTTGTTTTTAATTTTTTTTTCTGTATAGTGTATCCAATATATTGATGCAGATGTATTAAAGGAATTAATGCCAAAAGTAATAGATTTAATCAAGTTCAGCATAGGATTTGGAACAAAAATTGCTTGTTCGCATTTCGTGATTCTACTTAGTACGCATCTGAAAACAGAGTTGCAGCCGTACAGTGGTTAGTAATCATTTCAAATTCAATAGTACATATGAGTAAAGTACAAACTATTCTTATTATACAGAAAAAAGGAAGTTACGTATATATTTGAATTACTCAAAATATTTTTGTGTACAAAATATATTGTGTTACAATTTAGTATATAATAAATTGATATTTTTTGGTGATATAAATTAACTTTACATGTTTCATTCAGGTAAGGTATTATCTGTTTTGCTCAATGGTTTATTGGATCGTAATGCTGCTGTAAGAAAAAATAATGCGGTCAGCATTGGACATATAGTTGGCTCCGCTAAAGATTCTAGTCTGGATAAATTATTTAATACCTTGAATACGTGGTATTTAGAACGCGAAGGTATATGTCTAACAGTAGCATTATATGCTCTGTTTTAACGTCCTATAATTTTATTTTATAAAAAAATTATGAATTACAGATGATGCAATAAGATTAGCAATCGGGCAAGCTTTGCAATCTATAAATAATTACAATCAGGAGAAATTAAAGAATTATCAAAAAATAGTCATTCCTCTTGCCTTCTTTGCAATGCACGCAGAAAAGGTACCAGGTATGTATACCAGTATTTATGTGTCATTCATAAGTTTGCCTCGCGCTTTATTTCCGTATTTTTATACATATTTATTAGGAAACGAAAGCACTGTTGAATTATGGACTGATTTTTGGAACGAAATAACTCCCGGGACCGAAGCAGGAATTGTGCAAAACCTGCCAGCAATAACCAATATTTTACGTACAACTTTGGAATCAGCATCATGGACTACAAAAGTGCAAGCGGCAAATGCAGTTCATACCATTGCTTCAAAATCTGGTCATAATATTGGTACAGAAGACAGGAATACCTTATTAAAGATACTGATCAATGGTTTGCATGGTAGAACGTGGAATGGAAAGGAACGTCTACTAAACGCTCTCGCTATGTTAGCATGCAATAGCAAGTAAGACATCAATTTAAAATTTTATGCTAAAAAGACTTAATTAATACTCGTTAAGTTTAATAATTCGGATTTTATTACAGAGAAGCTTTAAATGCAGACACTGTATTATTAGATACAATTGTGGTAACATTATATAGGGAAAGTAAGAAAGAAAACGCTGAGTATCGTCGACACGCGTTACAAGCGTTTGCTATGGTTTTGCATGAACTTGATGTTGATAGGTTTACGGAAATGTATGAAATTGTACAAGAAATACTAATTAAGGTAAGATGCGTTGATAGTAATATCATGAAGGAATAGTTGCAAAGGTGTGTATGTGTGTGTGTGAATATAATATTTATATATACTTTATATTTAGGTATCTGATAAAAATAACGATGATGAGGAGGATACTGCGGAAGAAAATAGAAAGAAAAAGGAAAATAACATAAAGTTGCAAGAAACAATTTATGAAGTGCTTGGGAAAGCATGGCCTTCCACCAAAGAGACTCAAGGTTACAGAATTTAGATAAATTTTAATTAGTAAAAAATATGCATTTTTATAACATTGAGAATTTTTTTATAAATAAATTCGTGATTACAGATAAATACTGCATAGAATTCGTGACTCACTGTCAGAAAGTACTGCCAAATAGTACAAGGTCTGTTCAAGTTACTATCTTGACAGCGTTAAATCTCTTTGTGGATAGACTTGTCTTATTAAAGATGAGCAAAACGGAAATGTCATTAAAAGATAAAAAGCTATTAGATCAAATAGGTGATAGTCTGAATAAAATATTATCATACTGTATAAGTAAGTATATATACAGTATAAATTATGCGATATAATTAAGTACATTAATTCTATTTAACGTTATGTTGCTCTATTAAAATAATTTAAGCATTTAGAATTATTATAAGATCGCGTACTATTTTCAAGTACAGTATCTTGTTTTTTTGCAGATATTTCGAAGTTCACCAAAATTAGAAAAGAAGCATTAAATATAGTTCTTTCGTTAGCAAGAAAAATGCGTGAGACACATAATGATGAGCAACTTGATAAAATGACCCGGCTTTTGAAAGAACTCTTACCCGATCTAACGAAGGATAACCAACCAGAAATACGGACCAGAGTAACTGATATTAAAGAAATGCTTAAAATTTAACTAGCATGTACATATATTAAGTATGTACATGGTATCCCAGTTCGAATTTATCCTTCGCATACGTCGATGTATATTGCTATCGTTGATGTTGGTGAATTCGAACTATAATAAAAGATTGATATTTATGGTTGCGTGTTTATTTAATATGTTAAATGTAGATGTGCCTAATTATAGTATTATATCCCTTAATAAAATATATTATAATTTAAAACAACTTGTGTGTAAAATTTTTTTATTACGCCCTTATGTATTATAGCCTAACAAAATAGATTTCGAAGAAGTAAAAGATGATAATCTGATCACTTATCGGCACTATTATTCTGAAAAGAATCTTTTATTTGTAATTCTTATATAAAATTCGAAGTCTACAAGTCGTGTTTCAATATACTGTAAAGTATAAACTAAAAGTTTCTGCCGTTGGTGGGCTGTGGCTCCGCGAAGAGACGGTTGCTTGCTTATATATATATATATATATGGATGACTTGAGGCCTCGATTAAAGTTCCGGCATCGGATGGTGAAGTGCCTGACATTTTATCTCGGCCTAATTCTTATAATATACTATTAATACTACAAATTTACAGAATATTTCATAAAAAATAAGTGATTTTCTTCCCTCAGATAGGATTCCTTACCAGGATTGATAACATGATATAAACGAACAGATTCAGTTTCTTCTTTATTTTTTTAAGCATTAATTTCTGTATTATGTTTTTTCGTTGCTTTACGTTTTGTTTTCTCGTATCAAGAGCTCTAAGCGTTAAATCATTGAAACAGCTTGCATTAAAAAAAAATTATGAATAATGTACATTAATTATCTATCCATATTTAAACTAATCTATCACATCTAATTGTTTTTTTAATTTTTTTAATAATATCGATGCTCCAGGGCCGTATACTTCCTTGAGAGTTCCAGTTAAAGGTTTCGTCAGTTTATCAAGCAATGTATCTGTAGCAATTTCATTCTCTAGGAGATTAAGTAATAAGAAACAAGCTCTATTAATTCCTATCCACTTGTCTAGTATTTCTGGCGTTAGATGTGATATCAATATTTCTGTAAATGTAGATTCGTTCTTTTTCAGCAACTCTTTGTCGTATTGAATAAGTTTCTTCAACATTATGTGTAATCCAGGATGTTCAATCACATCGTACTCGATATCATTGTCCTTAATTTTTGAATCCATACTACTAATAAACTTAACAACTGATTCAAACGCAGACTTCAATTTCTCTCCTGATCCCACTTTCAATATCGCCAGAGTAATCATAGCTATGCTACCGTTGGATAACCATGTTGCTGTATTCGCAATTATAGCGTCAAGAAGCGGGCCGCTGATTGCTTTGAGAAGTTCGTTTTCCCTAATATCGGCTAACTTCTTACTTGCGGAATTGTTATCACCTTGACGTAAATATTCCACTACGGCTGGTGAAAAATAAAGAGGTTTTCTCCTGGCCACGAGATATAATATAATGTGTTTCCCATACACATTCCGCACAATGTCAACTAGATTCTCTTCTAACTCGGATAATATTATCTTCTGCATGAGAACTGTGTCATCTACGCAATCAAAAAACGCCAATAACGTCATGTAACCGTATTTGGACATACAAATCATCTTAATGTTTCCCTTGAGGGCTTTCATGATAATTTTCCTATCTTTGCTAGTACCATGCCATATACATTGCATAGCAACATCCGCACCTATTTTCGTTTGGGACAGAGTTATAATGTAAGATCGTAGCATAACTATTAACTCGCTCCTATCTTCCACTGAACACTCGTAGAAGAATTCCCGTATAATCGTTTGCAGCAGAGTAGAATTGACAAAACCTTTGTTTAAAATTCTAATTAGATTTGCTTTTACGGCAGATAATGTAGCCAGTTTCATATCTGTCGCGGTTTTGAATACATCTGACAATGATTTAACTTCATTATCTTTTTCCAATTTATATATGTCTCCATAAAATTCTTGCTTAAAATGTATCTTCTCGAGACTTGTACACCAAGTAGAGTACGTGAGTTCTATAAGAGAGACCGATACGTTGTGACTCATTAACTTAACAATATTGCCATAAAATGTAGAGATAATATCACGTTTAATTTCTTGCGAGCCATGCTTTAAAATAGTTTTTACACAATTTTTTGCGTATTTAGACTGTAACATTTCCACAATTAATGGCTTTATCTCTTGAAATATTGCTTGTAAAACATGTGACTCACAATTCTTGATCATACATTGAATTACTCTGGAGATGTCGTGTGTAAATATCACTTTGTTGTAATTGTTTTTCATCAAATTGTGTATCGTCTGAGTTAATGCTACACGATCGATAGGCTTGCAATCAGATCTACGTAACTTCTCACTAATCTTTTTAGCCTGAAGGATTTTGTCATATACATGATCGTTATTTAATCTCTTAGCTTTGCGTTGCTCTCTGAGTTTCTTTTTCTCCTTCTTCAGTTGGAGCCAATCGATTTTCTTGATAGCCGTATTATTCTTTTCCAATTTCTTCAGATTTTCCTTTTTTAAGTTCTTTTGATTTTCAGATTTTTGTCTAAACTCTTTTCTTTCCCTTTTCAATTTGAGCAACTTTATCTTCTCAATTGTAGCATTATTCTTTAGCACTTTAGTATCCTTTGCTTTTAAATTTTTCTTTGTTAAAGATGGCTTTGTGCTTTTATCATCTGAAAAATATTTATTATTTTTGTACACATGACTATTTTTAAGTTGTAGTTTTCTTTTTTTATTCTTACCTGTAAATTTATTATTCAGAGGTTTCTCGAATATCACTTTCTTTCTTTTTTTATTATTTCCTGCATTCACATTATTCTCTGCTTTCAGATCATGAGCATCCAAATTCTCTGCTGATCGCTTCATCTTTGACTAGATCTATAAAAACCATCAATATAAGAGTCAAAGTGGATGTTAAATCTTTAAAGTACATGTATCATTTTTCACATTTATTAAAAAAAGTTCAAAAATATCTCTCAAAAGTATTACTTTTATTACTAGGTCTATTTTTTTAGTTGAACTAATAAAAATAGTAACTGCAGTATTTTGAAACTTAAAGTGAAATAGGCACATATGTTAGATATTAAGTGCACAAATAAGTTTTAAAGCGTTTTTTGTGTAACGTATAATTTAAAATTTAAATTTAGAATTCAAATATTTTTGCGCTTTTTTGATGTGGTGATGCTTAATGTGTACTATTAAAAAAAACAATTGACTTCACACAATTGGAAACTTAACCTCAAAATTAAATGGTTTTAAAATGGTGAGCCACAAGCAATTTATTCGACACTGCGTTCGATACGAATTTTATCAAGGAAAAAGCGCTGCTAAAGCATATGAAACAATTTGTACTGTTCTTGGAGACAATGTTGTATCAAAAAGTACGTGTGTCGAGTTTTGGTTTAAGCGATTTAAAGAGGATGATTTTGATGTTGGGCAGACATAGCCTCTTCAGTATCATTTATTCCGGTCAATGCAAAACATCTTGTCCGGTGTACATACACTTTCGATTTGAAGAAGTGCGAATGGGTGGATAATTTTATCGCATCGCGAAAGACGAAACCTTCTTCGCTTCTAAAATTCACAAGCTGCCCAAAAGATGGCTAAAGGTCATAAATAATGACGGGGATTATTTTGATAATTAAGTGTGTTTTCGTTTCTAAATAAATGAATATTAAATTTCATTAAAAACGCTTTAAAACTTATTTGTACACCTAATATTTACTAAAGTGAGAAAGTTCTATAATAGCAAATTCGGTCACTTGTATTTCACTAGAATACTAGATTAATGCATACCAAAAGCTGTTACATAGAAAATTAGCAAAATATTAAAAGCATATAAGAATAATTTAAATAATTAACTACCCAATAATAATGTCAAGTTATTTATATAACAGAATATACATGTATTATTTAAATTTTTATTAATATTGTCAATTATTGTCAACATTGAGTATATATCATGCTATTGTATTTAGGTATTTTATATAAAGCAATCTTTAATGTGCACTAATCCAATGTAATGACCAAAATCTTCAGTTTCCCGATGAGAACACTTACATAGATTCGACGTAGATTCATACACGTGGATTCTACGTGAACCATCGAGTGTATTTATAAAAATAGGAAATAGTAACGTTGAATTCACGTGGATAAATTAACATCGATTTTTACTCTATGCAATCCACGTGGATTATACGTATTGAAATCTATATGGAAATGTCTACATAGAATCCACGTGGATATTATGTGAATAAATTTTTAACCCACGTAGTCCACATAAAACACGTAGATTCCACGCGGATACTATACATTATACATGTTCTCATCGGGTTAATGCAAGAATAAAAATCAGACTTTTGTTTTCAAAAGTATATAATAAACATTATCGTAATTTCAATCTAATTTCGTATAACCTTATTAGGCGGATTAAGGAGGCAATATTAATCTACTAATCGATGGAAACAACATCGATTTAATTTCAATGTGTTTTTCAGTTTTAAACTTACGAAAAATCCTCTTTTTATATTCTCTATCCGATAATATTAATAATTAGAGGAACTCCAGAAACCCCAGCACGGAATCGCAAAGGTAAACGGAATCGATTTTACTTGGCTTTCACCACGTGGCGGTTTGCCTTCTCGTGCGCGTGCGCGACTCGCGTTTCAGTAATTGGTTCGGCGAGTGTCGATTGTCGTTTCGATACCTCGAGAATCGCTCTTCGATAAATCACGTAATCGCGAATTCGCGAGTCACAAAATGCCCTACACATTATTCGAGTCGCTTCGTATTTCTCGCACGATCGACAGTGTCTGAGAGCGAATTTCGCGAGCGAAAAAATTTGTGTCGCACATCGAATGAGCTCGCGGTGCAAATCATAGTGCAACCCATCCGCATTACATTAATCTCGCGTATATCCGGCGCTTCATATTTCACTCGGAACCAGATCGGGACCCTCGCAGATCTCTCACGTCAATTATCCGTTTGAAGTACGCCGAAAGTGCAACTTATGCACGAGCTTGTTTGTCAGGTATGTATATCGTGCTGCATTTAATGCTACATTTTATAACACTTAAATATATTTCAAGTAATATTTAAATATTCTAATTGAAAAAACAATAGTATATTATGCTTATGCCTCTTATATCTTCGAAACGTCAAATACGCGTGACGTCATACCACTCGACAGATCGCGAACAGATAAGGAAAAAGGCGCGGAAATATAAAGAGCACTATAATTTAAATTATTGAATTTTAATTTAAATTGGAGCGTTCTTTGTAGAACATTAATTTGTTATATTTTCATCGATTATTTCGACACGATCGGTGAATGTATGATAAATTAATTTTCTATGAGAAGTGTTCAAATTTTAATTATAATCCAATGTCTACACATTAAAATGATTGTTTATACTTATACATTAAGAGTCAGGGAGGATAAGACTAATTATATTAAAGAATTTTACAACATAGCTGTAAAGTCATGCAAAGCTGCTTTCTCTGCTAAACGTAGCCAATAATTTAAATTTAAATGTGTTGCGGCAATCTGCAACAACACAATAGCTGCTCTTCGTATTAGAGACTTTATAATTGCCTATAATAACACAGTCTGGTCACGAGATGACTTAACTTTTGATTAGCCTGCTTAATAACCCCATTTTTTGTTATTTCCAATAAATAGAATGAATAAAATAGTCTAAAGTCCTAAAAGTTATATAGGAATAAGCATATTTTGTATACTAGGTGATTCATTTTGATTTTAACAGACAAAATTTCAAAAATGGTATAATTTTACCAAAAAACATTTCAAATAAAAGTGATACGATACAGAAGTAGATGTACAATGGTAATGTATACTGTAAACTATATACTTTTATCTGACAATAAATTATATTCTAAAACGTTTTATCCGAGAAAAATTTTACTTGATAAACGCGTTACATGCACTATACATTTCCTAGAAGTAAAATTTTCCTCAAACGGAACGTCTCAGAATGCATCCAAGCAAAGCAACAGGTTATCATGATGTCAAAATGATTCCAAAATGATCATTAAAAGTCATTTTTCAATTTACGATTAATTTTAACGTTATTTTGACGTTGTCGTGACTTGTAGTTCTGCTTGGGTAGCTTGGAAAGTTTTTCAATAAAATTACATATTTTCGAAATATTTGCTTATTAAGATTAAAAAGAATCAATCTATATAAAAAAGGAAACAGTATTACAGTATATACACTCCCTTAATTATTTCACTCTTGCTTTGACGGAATCACTCATGGCTAACATTCAATACGAGGGGAGCGCTTCTTTGACGCTCGAATGATACTCATAGCGCTGATGAGTATCATTTGTTCTCGTTTAACATTAAATAAATAACAAAGACGAAATAATTTCAAGAGTCCTGCGAGTAGCAAATTAGAACGTAGTCAGGGTCATTTGTCGCATCGATTTTTAGCTCCGCCCCTGGTCGGGCGACGAAGGGAGGAACGCGCGCGCGGGAAGCCGCGTCAGATTCCCGAGACAGCCGCCCAAGCTGCCTTGAACAGGCGGCAGCGGTTCGCAGTTGGTCTCTCGTGCCGCGCCTCGGTGTGTATTTTTAACTCGCATCCGATTCACGTTCATCCCGTGTGAAACGACCGAGTCACGCATTCTGGTCCGCGAGTGCTCGCGAGCGAGAGTGTGCCGATAAATTCGTGCAGGCACCTGGCGCGGTATCGAGGAGAAGAATCGGCGCGGAGCAAGTCGATCGATCACGCAACGGGAAGACGAAAGAGAGAGAGTGAGAAGCAAAGTGGGAGGGGGAGGGAGAGAGACAGAGGAATCGGCGCGCAACAGGTGAGAAAACGTGGCGGCTCGCCGCGCAGCGTGGCAGCCGCATCAGCTGATCGCGGCACGCCGCCCGCCGGACTGCGCCGGTCGGCCTGCGAGGGAGCGGCTCGTCTGGCTACTTCGCGCGCGATTCGTGTTTACCCATTTCCCGATATTCGGGAAGCTACGTTTGCTGTATACCGTTGCCAACGAGGATCGCGTTGTGCGGACGTGGCTGTTCGTACCACTTCCCGCGTTTCTGCTCGTAAGCCGCCCGCCGAGACGCGGCGCGTTGTGAGTTCCGTGCGATTGGCTCTACCCTTATCACATGGCTGCGTTCCGCAAATATTTTTCTGCTTCGAGATAAATTCAGAGATAAATCTCGTAGCGAAATTCGATCGCTACGCTGTTAGATATCAAAGGAGCAATGGCAACTCGATCTCTTGAGTCAAATCACATTTGTTGTATTAAATTTTAATTAAAATTTAAATTAATCTGTTTCTGTGGTTATAGTTGCAAAGTAAACGTTTATATTAACGTTGCTTGGTAAATAATAAATTAAATGTGAGTTAAATTTAATATAATTTTATTATTTTAAACTTTTAAATGTGTCCCAACCACGCCAAAATGTAATATTTTAACAAATATGTTATTAATATATGCATCAGTAAATAATAAGCTAAATTTGAGTTAAATTTAACACTCCTTGAGTTTAATTTTCCATTGTGTTTTGATTATATTAATAATATATTGAGTAGGAGCAATGGCGACTTATAGAAATGATTAAAAATAATTCAATTTGAGTATAATTTAACATTATGAATTTAATAGGGAATTCGATTACTTGCACTATTAATAGTGCATGCTGAAATCTGCTATATATGAAACTAACAGAGTTAAATGTAAAAATATATAAATATATTTTGAACAATTAACTAATCTAATTATAATATTGTCTTTAATTAACAGAATGTACATATTATTTCATAACCAAAGTTGATTATATTATACCATACATTTATAGATACTTTAAATATAAAGCAGTCTTTAATATTAAGTATTGTATAAAATTATATATTTATATATATATGAAAACAGTCTATAAAGCCTAACTGATAAAATATTTAATGTCTTTTAAGTTTTTTAATGGAGTACATATATGTATCAATATATACGAGCACATACACACATACACACACACACACACACACACATACACATATATTAGATTTGTAAAGTAAATTTTAAGATTGCGATGTTTTTGTCTTATTATTATATGTATATGTGTGTGTGAATTTTACACATACGCACATGATGTAAATAAAAAGTAATTTACTAAAAGTTCATTTTACATGTATGTGAGCATGCATATATTTCGTTAAAATGATAATATCAATACACTGCATGAATTAAATATGATAATTGATTTTATATACATATAAATACACACATATATATATATATATATATAACATATATATATGGAAAAAAACGATTTTGCTGAAGTATTAAAAACTTTAGCTTAAGATAGGTCTAAAAATAATTGTATTGGACCATCAAAATAATTATGCAGATTGCTCAAGTATGATAAGTAATGTTGCAAAAGACTTTGACATTTTAACAGAAAAACTCGACCACTTTATAGAAATATTTCCTCATGGTCTAACAAAATTATTTTTAGATTTATATATATATATATATATATACATATACGTAGCTTTAGATGTTTTAACAAAATCGTTCTTTCAGTGCAGATATGTATATGTCGTAGCCTTTTGGCGAAATCAGCCTTTTCGGAAAAAGGCTAATCTTTTTG